TGAAATGTTTTTGTTTTGATGCTCACCGATTCTCTCTTCGCATCTGGATATTAATCATCTGAATCCAGTCTGTAAAAATGGTAGAGTTCATCCATGATGTGCGATTTGCTTTCCATATAACCGGTAGCTTGTTAATGTCTATGTTTTTAAAACATCTTGGCCGACGACTTTTTCCTACAGGAAAACAAAGGTTATAGCAATGAACGTTCACCAAGCTTTGCTCTTACCAATAACTAATGGTTTCAGCTTGTGAGTACCCGACCAGTTCGCACATAAAAGGACAGTGTATCTTTCCTTGGATTGTTTCCCCCCATTGCATGATTCTTTGGGTAATACCATTGATCGATCTGGTAATAATTTAAAGAACAATCCAGTTTCAGCAGCATTATAAACATCGTTTTCTGCATAAGAATTAATTAAAGCTGGTAATCTTTTCTTCCATTCTTCAACTGTAGCAGGATCAACTTGAGCGCTTTCACCAGATATAGAACGAAATGTTATACAGTGACGATTTTTAAACTTGTCTAACCATCCATTTGATGCTTTAAATGTTCTAAAATGATAGAAAGTAAAACAGTAGTGTGAGTGAATTTCGTCCACCCTTAAATAGACGAACCCTGGCGAACATCCAAATCCTTCGGCGAACTCTCTTGCCTTTTCTTGAATTAATGGACCAGAGAGAGGTATATTTTTCGATCTTTGTTGAGTAAACCATGAGAACACTGCTTCATCTATTTTTCGACCTGAATCATCTTGTAACTTGCGTTTGACACCTTTGTTCGAGTTCGTTTGAAAGTCGCATTTGTATTCTTCTTGCCGCTGGAGAATGTTGTATACCGCACCTTTCGATATGTTATATTTTGTAGACAGCTCGCGCTGCGAAAGACCAGCCCCGTTAGCGGAATCATTGATCAACTCGATCTTCTTATCAAGCGTAAGAAAGTTATGTGTGGCCATTGTTAGTTGATTTCATGTGTTAATGTGCGTTTACATACCTATTTATACACTCTCTTATTAATGAGCGCCTAATTAAAGACGTATAGACCTGTACTAATTACGTGTTTCATGTCAGACGAGTTATTCATTTATTTTATTGACGAAACAAAAGAGAACAATAGAATAAGGAACAAAAAGATAACTCATATGTTAAGTTTGTGCCCACGTAAGAGAGGTGTAAGAAGCCAAAATGGACTAAAATTAGTGCCCACTGCTCAGAAGTGAGAGGTGCCCTTGTTATAGAGGTTCATTTCCAGCAAAAACTTCTCGGTCGTTCTGCCAAGTGACCACATAAGCGAGGTGCCCTTGTTATAGAGGTGCCCACGTAGAGAAGTTCTACTGTATGTTAGCAAACCACTGAAAATGTGACCAGCGGTATAGGTCATTGCTATTGCACATGAATGAGAGAATCTTTATACAGTCTATTTCTATTTGTTTCTTTTGCATATGTGTGAATGATACCTATACATAAGTTCATGAAAATATTCAATATGGAATAAAACTCAATGGCCTTCTTTAGTAAAATGCGAAACTTTATCAACTACAATGAGGCGTAACTGATAAATAACAGCTGGATAAGAACTTCTTACCAGGCATCACCGTGATTACTTTCGGTATTCATGAATACAGACAGTTATCCGGCACCGTTCAAACTCTTTAGCGCAGATCTATAATTTTTCACTGAATTCATTAAATATTTAGATTTCGTTGTTCTTATAGATGTCACTAAAGGATGGAGTTTTAGAATATTCATAGGTAGAATCAGCTTGGAAGGCAATTATCGTATTATTAAAATGTACTAAGTACAATCGTACTCAGTACCAGTACACAGTACTTGTATTTGTCCAATCACTGGTTTTAACATTGCAAATAATGATAATAGATCATAGTTTTAAGTGTAAGCCATTTGATAACAAACTCTAATAGGTTCGAAACCAGTCAGGGTAGCTCTATCTCACCCTCACCCACACTCTCATATGACCCTTCTTTCAGTCGAGGGAATTTTTTCTATAATGGTCTTTTCACACTCTATCTGAGTAATACGTGCGTCATTTTATTCAAAGATCATGATCCAGCCTTATTCAGAACAGATCAGCGGATATCTCCGTGTCGAGAGTTATTCAGTTCGTCTGCTATTTTATCTCGTATCGGATCACTTAAGCTTTCTCTCGTTGCTTGCGGATTTCGTCGATTTTTGCTTGAACATATGGCGAACAGTAATCATAGTATTTCTGTTGCCAATCGTGATGTTTGTAACGTTTGAATACATCATTCCCTGCACATGCTGTTACACCACAACGGCATACGTTAAAAGGAAGCAATTGCATGTCGTCTGTATTATAGAGACCATAGTCGACAGTTAACATAGATCCCGGCTCGATGTCTTGAAGAGCAGATACTTGCTTAACATCTAACTGAGAACAGTTCGCTTCACATGAATGATTCATAAACACACACAGATCGATTATATCACGTGTTAAGTAATTTTTAGGCACCATCACATGTTTATCATCGTATTGTAATGAATACCTCATAAGATACTTCTTGACATCGGGGTCACACTGCTCACTAATCAACCGATAAAATTCTTCTAGAGTGTAAATTCCACGTTCATCGCCAAATGGATAAAATGCCGTGGTTGTTGGATCATTTTTGAGAATGATTTCTCCTGCAGAAATTTCCTCAGCCGCGAAAAGTCCACGATGTCCTGGCCCATACTTTTCGCTGACATCGACCACGTGTATTTTTTTCAAGAGAATTCCGGAATATACTGACAAATCGATAACATTAGCCATTTGCTTACTTGACAGAGACTCGTTCTTTAAGAAAATTTTCTCGTTTTATATATAGTATTTTAAAACATTCGATTCATACATGCATGACGCATCGCTATCACACATCGAAGGATTGAATTTGGTAGTAACGTGCTACACGATTGTATTATATATCTCAAACTCGTTCTTTTTCTTGCTGTTTCATACGTTCTTAATTTCCTTCAATGAAAACATTGACAAAAACGTTATCAACGTTTCTTGTCGAAGTATATACAGAGTGGCCCATAACTAACGTAATCGGACTAAAAACGTGAGTATTTCGATCACGACTCAAGCAAAAAAGCTGATTTTCTTCATTAAAAATTGCATACTTGTTATCGCTATAGATAAATTTAAACGACGACGATCCTAATGATAATCTTGAGGATGAATGAAAATGCCGATAAGAATCATGTATCAAGGCCACACTCGTACATTGTTATTCTCACGATTGTAGTAAGCATCATCAGCGATAATACGATTAAATGTCAAATGTCTTTTAAATCGAAGACTCGGATTGTTAATTCAACGAGTGGTATGGTTTGTATTTTTGTGTGTTGCTCCATATTCTTTGTTGGGCTTTTGCATATATCGCTCTATTTCCGCATATACTTCGCTGATCACCTGTCCAATTCTGTATATTTTTTAATGCATTTGCTGAATTTGTCATACGAGCGAGATTTCATGCTGGCATCTGAGCAATATATGCTAAGCACTTCACGTAACGTGAATACGCATACAGTTTTAGGAGAAGAAATACACCTTATTACTATCATGTAATAAAAGTAGTGGGCATCAATAAGTTGAGAGTATATGTATAGGAATATCTAACACTTTCACCTCTTTTCGATTGAATGTTTGAGAGTGATGAATCTTCCACTTTTGCTGCTTAACATAAACACTGCTAGCATAATTATGTTCAACTTACACAGTAACAAGCATATATATATTAGACGTGGGCTTCCAGTTGAAGCTGACAACCCTTCTAGTCTAAGATTGATTCCGGTTGATCAGAGCAGTAGATGCTAAAAGTATCTCCTAAAAGTATCGTCTTATTTCGGAACTATTTAGACAACGAATTATGGTAGAAAATAAGTACCTGTCTTAGTTTCAGATATATTTATTAATTGCATAGAATTTATCAATTCGTATTGCTGGTACACTTACAAAATGATCAATGAAAATGGAGCAACTAATAACAAGGCGAAAATCATTACAAAATTGTATCCTTTCGGTTTTTGGCAAGATGCGACAGTACTTGGCCACATTGCTGGATTATTATGCCTCAGCAATCTTCTTTTTCCGTTTATGATCACAACCGTATCTATCGCTCTAATGGGAAGTGTAGGTCAAGCAGAACTCAATGCGAGCACATTGGCTTTTGCTGTTTATGGACTCGTAGGCAAAGCAATGACCGCCGGTCTTAACTTTGGGTGTGATACTTTACTGCCACAGTATTTCAGTGGGAAGAAGAGTGGAATGGGCATCGTTCTGCAGCGTGGCGTACTAATTACGTGTTTTGGTTCTTTACTCTCATGGTCGTTGATGTTGAATGCAGTAAGTGCTTCTCGTTTTCTTTCATTATCTTTATTGTAATGAGATATGAATTAAAGAAAGTTAACAAAACTATCGAATAGACAGAGTTCAAATACTTGTGTTCTTGATGTAAAAATTAGATGATTCAGTATTATCGAGTTGACATCAGAAAAATTTGTTATTTTTGTTTTTCAATGAACTAAATATAACTTGAAGTAGAAAAAGAGCATAGAAGAGGGAACTTTTATGTTTGCTGTGATGTGTTCTCTAAATCATGGGAAGTTTTCTAGTGTACCACATGTGTTCCACTTACTCTTCTGCAGGCTTGAACTAGCTATTCTTTGCAGAAAGTGTTTCGCATTTTGACGATCTATTTTCAGAAATATGCACTTAGATGGATTGAGCATGACTCACATGTGATAACACTTACCAATACCTTTCTACAGCTCTACTTGCTTGTTGTTCCGTTGGATGCTGTAATATCCCTGTTACGCATGTATTTGGCAAGTTGTGGAAAAACACGTCCAATCGTCATTATTTTTGCCATTGGCAACGTGATTCATATTATATCGTTGTATATCTGTCTGTATTACCTCCATATTGGCCTTCAAGCAGCACCAATATCAGCCATCTTGTCATATACCACCATATTACTAGCCTTCGTGGCCTATATACGTTCTTCGACGCTCTATGAAGAAACGTGGCATCCAGTAACTCGCGCCTGTCTTCGAGAGTGGGACACATATCTGAAGTTGGCTGTCCCAGGTGCGTTATCAATCTTGTAAGTCATTTTTTCTTAAAGATGAAAGCAATATTACTTTTGTAAAAAAAGATGCAGTAAGTCATTGTTTGGTATCGAATCTTTCAGCGTAGTAGTTTTTCAGATGCATAATGGAAAGGCATAATAGATAGGATTGCCATTGTCGAAGTCTTCCATCGTGTTTATGCCGAGAAATCCATGAGTTCTCAGCAACTAGTTATATATTCGAGACATTCAACGATTGTGTAAAAACTGCTTACATCGATTTTAGTTGATAGTGTGTACGAGGCGCAATATTTTAATCAAGTGTTTTTTCACAGAATTTCTAAAGGTAACGCTTCATTAGTTGATGTCTATTTCTAGTATTGAATATTGGTCCGTCGGCTTGAGTGTCCTTTTTGTGGTTAACTTAGGCCCTGATTCTCTTTCGGCACAAGTTGTAGTGCAGCAAACAATATGGTTTATCTTACATATTATGACATCGATTAGTGATGCAGGTAACATTCTTATCGGACGACAACTCGGCGTCAATCAAACGCAGAGAGCGATTCAAGTAAAAAATGTCGTTTACACACTCGCCGTAGCTGCATTGTCGATCACTACATGCTTCATTGTCCTCGGTCATGATTGGATTCCAATCATCTATAGTGTACCGAAAAGTGCTCAGTCGCTGGCTCAAAATGCCCTCCTGTTGGCTGCTGTTGTTAATATCTTCGAAGGTTTGTATGTTGTTCAAACTGGCATAATCAGAGCATGGTGAGTTGCCATCTTAATGATGACAGTGTGAAGGTTGAGTGCATTTCGATCTTAATACCAATTTTATCAGAATTCGGGATTTCTTCAGACATGTGTTGACCGATCTGGTGTGTCACACTCGCTGAAAATGAATCAGCAGAGGCAGCAATGGTGGTAGAATCAACTATCTAATGAGTTTTCCCCAAACAACTAAGGCGGCGATGTTTAAAGTTCTTCAACCAGTGTTTGAATACCTGGTAATTTACAGTTGAATCTTCAACATACTTTTGAAGCACCTTTTGTCGCAAATCTTGGTCGTGATTTGAAATCACATGTTCACGAGCTTTATCAGACTTGTCGTAAACAAGGTCGTTCATGATCTGCAGTTTTCTCATTTTCTACCATTCTGTTCAGTGTAATGACAACAAGAAAAGTAACATGTTGTGAATGAGGACAGTTGTAAATCTATGTTTTGTCGACTGACATATGTGTCTTTTCTTCCAGCCAAATCAAGAGAATCATAAAATTCAAATACCTTTCTCATGAAGTTCATACTGGAGTTTTCCTTAGTTGAATGTTTGTAATCTTCAAACTTTTTAAAATTAGATTCGAGACTTTCATCATCAACTATTCTCAGCAAACAATCGGCAACTTTTTTATCGTGAGAATTTACTCTTGATTGTCGATGGTCTGGATCTTGTCATTCGGCGACTTTGTCAACTTATTGTTTCGATCTGATAGTGATCATGATAACATGTTCTTATCTGCAAGAGAATTATAAAGAAGTTTTTATTATGGCTCTCAAGAGAGCACGATAGAATGTGTGCAATCCATGTTTCTCTTTATCTTGCACTCTTGCATTGCGCTGATGTCTATGTGGTACTTCTGTTCATGATCTCGATTAGTTGGAATAACCAATATCAGGAAAGAATTCGATTATGTTTATTCTAGTCTAGAGACGTTAATCATCTGAGGCCGTTCCCTCTTAAGCAGACTTTGAGTTTCGACAAGGACTGTTTTTACCTTTTGACTGCTGCTATTCTTTGCATACATTACAACACCATGTTTACTGTAAAATACAATATTACAGAGTTCAATCAGAACTACAGTAAAAATATACTAAATCTGTATACGGAGAATATCTAATGTAGTAAGTTCATAGACAATATTTAACATATTTATATCTGTTACAGTGGAATGCAGAAGTTCTCAGTGATTATTTTATTCATCGGCTTCTATGTATTCGGACTTCCGTTAGCGTATGTTTTCACATACGTGATTCATATGAATATTTACGGGTTTTGGCTAGGAATAATTATTGCCGAATTAATAATGAATACTGTGCTATTCATACTTGTGCGGTTTTTCAACTGGGAAGCTGTCTCGCAAACGGCAATGAAACGATTTCAACGTGATGATACGATGGCAATGTCAGAAGACAGTGCGTTACTTAGCAATAGATTATTAAAACAAAGTGCCGACGAAAATCTTCAGTTATTACCACGTCGATGTACTGAAGAAATCAGCGAAGAAGGAGTCGCAGATGATGCATCACAAAGTTCATCACACCCTGCAATATCGCAAACATCTGTATTTGAACTGATTAAAGTAAAATTAACTGTACTTTTCTTTCTTCTGGTTTTGTTTGTTATCAGTTTAATCTTATCTTTCCAATAAGATAATCCTTTTTCAAAGACTACATATCCAAAAAAATAAAAGAAAGCATATTCATGTACATTGCTGTGTCAGCAAAAAAAGGATGTTTCCGTAGTACTTGTGCCAAGTGATAAGTGATTGCCTTCTCGCTTTCTAATCAGGTATTCCTCTTCGTTAGCGCCATTCACTTCTTTTGGTGTACAACCCTCTCCATATGATGTATTACAACACTTTCTCGGAAATTACATGTAATCGGACGTAAGATGCATTTCGTGGAAATTTAAAATAATACTTGCAAACACTCTAAATACTCGTTTTGGACTTAGTCCCGTTAGTTTTTACTCAAACCCAGGTCGAACAATCCCATACTCGGATCCCACCGGATCCCATCGGATCCAATACAGAATTTTATCGGATCCTACAGGAATTCGACGGATCCGATGAAATCCTGGTGACGGAATTGCATTGGATTCCGACGGTCTCGGATCCGATCGGATCTCGTCGGACCCGAAACATGGATT